TATATATATATAAATAAATAAAAAAACTTCCTTAAATACTCTTGGTTCCTAAGTGTCACAATGATAAACGACAATAAAATTATGCAAATTTATCATACACTGCCTGGCCACCTTGAATGAACTAAGCAAATAGTTACAAGCCTCCGATTAGATAATTAGATGTGCACTTATGTTTCTTCTAGCAACAAGTTATTTAAACCCAACTGGTGCAATGAGTAGCTTTTTATTTCTGGAACAAACATAATGAACTACACATCCTGTGTTTATGGAAAAGGTGTTCGTCTGTTTCAGAGAGGTGAAATCATCTGCACGTCCACTTGTGCATATAGTCAAATCTTATGTAAGCTATTCCATCGTCATCCCATACGGAAAATTCCCATTTGTTGATCCTTGCAATTGAAAACAAAAGTCAGTGAAACCAAGATGGCAGATACACAGGGTTTCTACAGGGGAGCTAAAGGAACCACCATTCCAACAGAATATCATATTACATCTGTAAAAATAAATTTCAACTATACAGGGGCAGATTTAGGAAATGTGGGGTCCTAGGCAAAGACAGGCAGGGGGCCCTCTGAATTGAGAATACAACACATAAAACAGACCCATTATACAGATATGGAAATTTTATTAGAATAGACATACATCATTTGTTCTACGTTTTGCCCCTCTTTTCTTGTCCATTTTCTTGTTGTTTTCCTCTATGTTTTGTACTCGGCTGATTTTTAATGCCGTCTCACAAGGAATGATAGATTTTTTCCAAGCAGTAAGCTCACTTAGCCGATGGCTCCATCCCGTGTTTCCAAAAAGGCGACAGCTTAAATAAAAAAACACAGTCCTTCTTTTCACTGTAGACAAGCCATGATCTGCTTATCTGTTTGTCCATTTTTCATTTGAATAAAATATTAGCTGCATTAATCATTACAGCAGACAAGATAGAGGAGAGCAGGAGGCGGGGTTACCGATCCACTTGCTCTAGAGAGCAGAGTTCTGTGCTTTTATATATTGTCGGCAAATTCTCCAATAGCAGAAAAAGTCGCTAGATTTGGCACTAGGTACTTTTTTGAAAAAAAAAAAAAGCGCAAGAGGGGTGTGAAAAGTCACTAAATATAGCGGCAAAAGCACTAACTTGGCATAGTTTTTTTTTTCAAATGGTTTGCTGCTGTCTGTTTGGACCTTTCCAAAAAGTGGTGGACACTGAAGGGGGGTGGGGGGTACTAAATAGGAATACTTGTTTTAACCATACATGTAAACAGAGTTTTATGGGGTCCCCAGGAACTTATGGCCCTAGGAATTTGCCAAGTATTGCCTAATGGCAATTCCCCACCTGCAACTATATGCAACTACTTTGTTGTATCTTTTTTTTCACAGTATAAAATGCATAAAGTAGACTTGAGTGGACAGATAAATATGTCTGTATAGAATAAAGACAGAAAACATTTTCTTCAAACCATGTTTTACTTTCCTAATGTATAAAAACAATTAGTAAAAAATTGAGTTTATCATAACTCGTGAATGAGAAGTTTAATTGAGATGAATGGAAGCCATAGACTCTCCACACCAGTTAAACAAAATCAGTTTGCAACATATTTTTTGCCATTAAAATAAACAGCTTTTTTTTCCAGCATGACTTTGGAGCTTTTTCCCTTTTGAAGCATTATTATCTGTGTGTGCCTGTGTCTGTGTTCATCAATATGGATTAATTCTGAGGTTTTTCCCTGAGGAAAGAGAATTATTAAAGTTTAATTATAAAATAAATGAGCTATGTAAGCTGTTCTCTCTGTATCTGAGGGAGAGGGATAGACAAAAAGGGGGCATGAAAATGAACTATTATATACATAATTTATCATGCAGTTTTAAGAACATTTTGTAAGAAATTAAACATTGCTCAAAAAAATGTAAAAAATAAATAAATAATTGTTCTTGTTAAGAATTAAGTCTGCATAAAAGTGGTTTACTTTGTAAAATATGTAGCCAATTGCCTCTTTAAACATTATTTTAAAATAAAGGTTAAAATTTTATTATTTTCCTAAACATGGAGAAGCAGCATTTAGTTCCTTTGCTCCACTTATCTGGAACAAACTTCCAGAAAACTGTAAAAGTGCCGAAAGCCTGAGTTCCTTTAAATCAAAACTAAAAACACATTTGTTTAGGACTGCCTTCGACTGTTCTAGTTAAACAGTTCAACTGAAACATCATTAGTTCCACTTTTTTATTTTTCTTTAGTCCAACTGTTTTTAATGTTCTTTTTTGTTTCTGCATTTTTTATTTTAGTTATTTATTTTTTATTTTTCCTACTTGCTTTGATTCTGCTTTATTTTCCTATGTTTTAATCATGTAATGCACTTTGCATTGTCTTTGTACTGAATTGTGCTATACAAATAAATTTGCCTTGCCTTGCCTTGCCTATGGTATGGAAGAGGATTAGGGCCACTGGAGAAAAAAAGAGTTAACTGATTTTTACATTTTATTTCAGTTTAGTATGGGAAAAAGTCAAAATTATGACTTTTTTTCCCCATACTAAACTGAAATAAAATTTAAAAATCAGTTAACTTTTTTTTTCTCCAGTGGCCCTAATCCTCTTCCGTACTACGGTCCTACAGATTATTTTTGCATTAAAATGAGCAAATGGTGACTGGTATATTAACTAGGAGTACCTACAGAAAGGCACTAGGACCCAGCAAGTATAGCACAGTGTTTTAGGAATGTGCAGCTGGAGGGTCCTGTCAGCAGAGCGCACTGCGCGCAGCAGCAAGACGCGCAGTTAATGAGCGGGACCCTATAGCACTGACAGGGGGGATTCATCCTCACTCTGGATATAACTCACTTCATAGACTATAGGAACAACACAAACCCTCCAATGTTGCCCCTTTTCTCCTCTCCCCTTCTCCATTTGAATTAGCCAGACACTTTTTGGGGGACATGGCTTCATCCGTTAGTGGCACAGAGGAGATCCGGGTGTCGGTGCTGACGCCCCTGAAGTTGGTGGGACTCGTGTGCGTCTTCCTTGCGCTGTGCCTGGATGCCGGGGCCATCATGAGCCCGGCGTGGGTCACAGCGAACGACCAGTACTACCTGTCCCTGTGGGAGTCCTGTTGGAAACCCGTCAGCTCCGTGGACTGGTCCTGCAGCAAGACGCTGACTACTGGTGAGAAAGACGCGCATGTTAGAGGGACTTATCCACAGTTTAATTCGGATGCACCACTTTTTTTAGGTGTTTCCTAGGGTCTGCAAATGGGGGTGCAACAGACACCCACATTCATATTCAAATGTGCGCAGCGGCCACAAAGGATCCTATAGCAGGCAGATCAGTGCAGAACCGATTTAGTTGGGTAAAATGATAAAATATCACCCAGAGAAAATGTTTATCTGGCCTAATTTACAATTATTCTCTAGTTAATTGAAACCGCACGAGTTAAGGGGGCGTTTGGGCTGCGCTTTTCTATGGCAGTAGACAAAATAAAACAAAATAAATCAAAGTTTACCCTTGAGTGAAAATGCTGAGAGGTCAGTTAGATTTTTCTGTCTGGACTTTTTTTTTTTTTTTTTTTTTTTTTATGATTTTTTTTTTTTTTTTTTTTTGCGCAGAATGATGTGGGAATCCTATCCTACCGGGAGCGCTCCAGATGGAGTTTCATTTGCCCTTTTGTTGCGCACAAAATGAGCCTTTGTGTGGGTTCCTCCACCGGCCAAGGAGCAAGGGCAACCCAGAACACAGAGCTCCCCAGAGATCCAGATGCCTGGAGATTAGTTACCAGGGAAACAATTGAAACACTTGAGAAATACTGGTTTTAGCGCTTTTAGGGGTCTTCCTCATGTTGTCCCCTTACTGGGCTGTATGGTCTACAACAGCCCATAGGTCTTTAATCAAATAAAATGTTGAGTCATCATTTAAAATTTTATCTATGTGAACACTATTTAATAAAATCCCAGATGATTAATAACTTGGATGATGCTATTATTACAAATTAGTTATTCTTAGATAAAAAAAAACATATTTTTGAGGATGTGAAGCTGTGTTAAACTCTTAACATTGAACTCCTTAAAGTAATAGCTCAGGGTTGTTTTTATTTATGAAGGTCAGGAACAGTCAGTGTCTGATCTGCAGTGTAAAAGTCTTTCTGAAAGCTGAGGCTATGGTAATCAGTGCAGGGTCAAAGGCAAAAATATATCTTCTATGTTAAAACAAATCTCCTTATTGTGTCTTTATAGGGGACCCTAAGTGAGCATCAATATAACACAGCCACTACAATATTTTCCTATGAGCAATGTCCCGTCAGGGTGCTGTTAAAGGGCAGTTTTCACACTGAAAAAATAATGCAATCATTTTTGGTATCTAGTTAATCATATTTAGTTACTTTAACACAATTGTTTTATGTCCTACCATGTTAACATGGAAAAAAATTATTAAAGTCAAAAATAGTTGCTTTATTTTTTCAATGTAGGCTACATACAAGCGAAAACATAATTGTCTTTCTTATTGTTAATTTCATTGATCAATAGCTTTCTTGTTACCACTCTTCTTTGTTTCTTTTTCCACGTAAATCTAAAAGATGACTAAATTTAATCTGGGGATATATTTCAGGGTAAAGCAGCCCTCACTAACTGTTTTTTTTTTTTTTTCAGCATTGTAAAAATCAGATCTAATTGTAAATGATAAAGCATGCACTGGTTCTTCTGTCATTTCTCTGAGGGTGTTTAACATTTTGAGCCTGTTCGCCAATAAATATTTCAATTTCTTCTCTGCCTCTGGCCTCCTCCTGCGTGCAGCGTGGTGAATTGTGTTTTTGTTAGCTTGACAAAATGTTTTCTTTCTGTCTGAGATGGGTCACACTGGCCCCCATTCCTCCTCAGTCAGCGCAGACAAAGTGCACTTCGGAGCCACATAAAGGCATGCAGTCTCTGTGTCAGCTATCAGCAGCAGAATTGTGCCACAGTGAACGTACGCAGCAAACTTCCCATTTCTCCAAGCTTCTGCTTGGGTCGGGACTATTGATTTGAGGTCCAGGAATCAGTTTCTACCCTCTTCCTCTAGCCTTCTCCCCATAACAACCCTGCTAAAGTTTTCACTTGGTGTCATGCTGAGGGCATAAACCTAATCTTGTTAGTCTGAAACAGCAGCTGGCTGCCTAGATATGTTTGAACTTTTAGAAAGAAAACAGGACGCTGGGGCTTTTCTGTTAAAAAAGCTACATTAGAAGACTAGATATACAATACACCTTATGAAGAGAATATTATTTTATTTCAAAAGTTATATATTTTTGGTCCAATAGATTACAAAAATTATAGGTTTAAGTATTTTCATCTCTTTCTTTAAAGCCAATGGGTATATGCACAAAAAAATGAACTGATTCATCCAGGTATGTTTGGCCAATTTCGTCATGTTTACTGACGCCATGCACACCTGGATGAATCACTTCATCCAGTAGTGAAAGGCTGTGTCTGAATATCTACCCTAATCACTGTATAGGGCACTATATAGTGCAGGGGTGCTCAAGTCCAGTCCTCAAGAGCTACTATCCTGTAACTTTTAGATGCATCTCTTCTCTAAACCGCCTGTATCAAAATTTTCAGTCACCAGCTCAGCAGAGGTATGGTACAGAAAAATCAACATATTCGTTGCATCAGAAATTTGCAGGATAGTATCTCTTGAGAAAAAGTTGAACACCCCTTATATAGTGGTTGCGCCATTTTAAATGAGTGTTTGAATGTCTAGTTCAGGGGTCTTCAATGTTTTCCAGACCAAGGACCCCCAAACTGATGGCGAGATGGAGCGGGGACCCCCTAACTATATATATTGTATGAAATTGTGTCCTATAGTCGCTCTATTACTGATGGAGTAATGTAAAGAAATTAATTTCTCCCTGGGATTATTAAAGTTTTTCTGATTCTGATTCCTGGTTGATGGGACAGGTGTTGTGAATGAAACGGTGCCCAGCTTGAAAGAGCTCCTGTGTGTCGCTGAATGTGTGCATTGATGACTGAAAGACATCCTCTGCCTCCATTTATCTGTTTACTACAGTGTGTTGAATTCATGTTACTGAGTATTTAAAGACATTTCAATTAGTGGAAAAAAAATTGCAGGGGGGGAATATAAAAATATCAACTAACCATGCAGACCCCCATGCAGTACCTCAGTGGACCCCCTATGGGTCGCGGACCCCCTGTTGAAGACCTCTGGTCTAGTGGATGAAAGAGTAGTGGACTCAAAATTTCCCACAATGCACCTTGAAAAGAAGTGATCATCCATGGTTGCTAGACGAGAAGATATATCCCGGAAAGATTTGTGTGTAGAGCTCTCCTCACAATGCATTATGGGATTTGCTGTCACAGTGGCCTGCTGTCACCTACGACTAAAAACAAAGATGGCACAGGTATCGCGCAGTGGAGGCGGAGTTATATGAGCAAGGGAAAAGTAGTGATCAACTGTCTGAACGGTCAGATAACTGAGTTCATTAAAAAGTCCATCATATATTTTATTATATACCCGTTCAATATAGTGAGTGAGGGATATAGGGGTAGGAGACACAGCCAGGAAAGAAAGGAGCTGCATTACATTCAGGGAGTAGTGAAGTTTTGCATAGAGCCCATAGTGTACATCCACAAATTATCGTTTTAAAAAGTTAAAATTAATTTAGCAATGTAATGGCTTTGTAACCTATTGATTGGCTAGATTTGATGGAGGCACACTTGTGTGGGCATTTTAAGTCTACACCTTAAACACCCTAATTCCTTGTGTGACATAATAATGATATATATTATTTATTTGGAGGTACATTTCAAGTCATTCAAGGTCACCTTTGAAACAAAAGCTGGAAACATCAAAAAACATTTAAACAAGTGAAGTGCTTAGTGTCCGATGTGACAGCGAGTAAGCCAGTTTGAACAGGTGGGGTTTAAGTTCAGACTTGAATGATGTGATGGTGTCAGGCTGTCTTTTGTATGAGGGGGAGGGAGATCCAGAGCAGCTTAAGGCTTCGGTACCCATGGTACTGAGGCGTGACATGGGGTTGGTTAACAGTCCAGAAGAGGTTGGGTGGAGGGTATTGGAGGGAGACGATGTGTGAAGGAGGTCGCAGAGGTAAGTGGGGGCTTGATTATGGAGAGCTTTGTAGGTAAGGAGAAGTTTTTTTAGTCAATGGTATTGTACGGGGAGCCATTCAAGTTCAATAAGAACGGGGTTGATGTGGCCCAGTGATTTGCTACAGGTTATAATCTGTGTGGCAGAGTTCGGAATGATTTGCAGTCTGTGGAAAAGTTTGGAGGGAACTATAGGGCATTGCAATAGTGAATCTGGGATGTGACAAATGAGTGCAGTAAGGGTGATATTTTGAATATTAGGTGCAAATGAAAGTGTGCTGTCCAGAATAACGCAGAGACTCTTGACTTGGGGGGAAAGGAATCTGTTGACGATGATAGTTGGAGCAGGGGTGTACTGTAATATAGTAATGATGGATTTGGAGCTGATGAGGCAGGCCTCGGTTTTATTGCTGTTTGGTTTTAGGAAATTCCTGCTCATGTAGCTTCGGATGTCATCAAGGCAGATGATGAGGGAGGTTGGAGGAATGGCAACGGTCGGTTTAGATAAGATGTAAACCTGCATATCATTGACGAAGCAGTGAAAATGGATCCCATGGTGACAGAGGAGGAAACTTAGCCAGGACACAAATACAAGTTTTTCTTTACCTTTACAATCCAGTTCATTTTGAGGAAATTTTAGATTCCAGGAGGTTAAACCGCCATTTGTTCCTAAGGCAGGTATATCCTTAAGGAAGGGGACAGTCCTTGTTCCCCAGTAATAAATGTTGGTGAAGCTGATAGGAGTGTGATGATTCCCCATGAAATGAATCTTGTAATAACAAGAGTCTGACTCTAAAAGAAACATGAACACTCAGATTACAACTTGTCAATGCATATACAGAGAAATACCTTTCATTTTTGGAGACTTGTCCTCTGACCTGTTAAAACCGTTTGGTCACAGTGACCTTTGCACTTGGGCAGCCTTATGTTGTGTGAGCATTTTACTTCACAAGAGAATGATGAGCCCACAAAACAGATCACATCATATTATGTTTAAATACTGAAGCAAAATTTAAATTGTGCATCGCATTTGTCCATAGATGTGTCCTTCAAACTGACAATGGGCCCAATCAAACCAAGAATTTGCTTACAGAGATTGAAGTCAATGTTTAGGAGTAGCCACACCCCTGGTCTGTGTCCCATAGAAAATGTGTAATTAGAGTAGGGATGACACCTTTAATCTTATTTTTTATGATCAATCAATAATTGAAATAATCAACAACTCTAGCACATGCCTTAACTTGGCAGAGCAATGCACTTAGAGCATTAATTATATCAAAATTGTAAAAATATATGTATGATTTTTTTTACTTTTTTGCTATTTTGGATAAAAAATAGTTTTCATCTTTCAATATGCTCTATCCAGAACTCCTCAAATTAAAAAGTTTTAGTTTCACCTGGTTTAAATTCTAATAAAATCTGCTTAAGGGAACATTTTGCTATCCAATTATTAATTGATTAATGGAAATAATAACAGACAGATTAATCGATTTGCGAAATAACTCTTAGTTGCATCCCTAAATTAGAGTTATAAAAGACATGTGAGCAAGGATATCATTAAACCAGACACAGGTTCTGTTAAGATGACTCAAAGTCCAAGGAAACCGCTGTGAAAAACTGTGGGAAGGATGCTAAAAATTTCTCATCCAAGCTACACAGATAAGCTAAAAAACATTTCAACCAAATAATAAAGAAGGTATTCAAATGTTCGGCTTTAAAAAGATAACATCATTCAATCATCATTTAGGTGTTTAGCAAATTCTTAGTGGTTGAAACAGAAAAAAAGTTGCCTTTTTATACATTATATGTAAATATTTAACTCCCACGGTATATTTATTTCACATTAACACACACATTGATTGGAGGGGGGGTTGTTGGTGAAGTTTAAACAAGTTTAGGCTCAACATTAGAGTTGGAATGTGGGGCAGTCCTGTAACAGCAGCATGTGTCGATTCCAGGCTGGTGTGAGAAGAGGCAAACACTGTGGCGCCAGCATGTGAGACAGTCCAGCTCAGTGAGGGGCAGGGAAGGCAAAGCACATTAATAATGTAATATTGATCCCATTTCTGGGAGCTCATCTTTTCTCAGAGGATGGTCACTGCTCATCCAGGTGGCTGCAAAGGCCTTGGAACAGAGCATTTTGATCCAAGCGCCGTTTGTCTACTGATCTGAGGCAAAGCGGGTTTTTAAAGTGAAAAGAAGATACTTGGGGCTATTCAGTGACACAGATCTGCTCAAGACAAAGTAACTGATATGAGACCTGGAAGGTTTATCTCCATTAACACTTCAAATGCACAGGCGGGAACTTTAATTAAATCTCAGATCAGATTTTTTCCTGTACTGTATCTCCTTTTCCATCTGTCATCACACGGGGGCACAGATTAATAGTTTGGCACTTCCTATTTGTCGGAGCCTTGAAGCACTCCCATGTCTGGTTGTGCTTCTTGTGCAGCAAGTAGGCTCCGCTCCAAATTTGAGATGAGACGACTTTCTGCATCCGGCTGTTTTTCGTAAACCCCCGATAAAACCGAGCCAATTGAAACCGACCGGAGGCCGAAGGCAGTGAGCCGACCCAGGAAAGATATCAGAGCAACAAAGCACTGCGACAACTGCAGGTCAAGTCACTGTAACCCACTCTGAGAGGCAATGAACAGCGAGGGGTCGTGGTGTGTAACTTGTGTAACATGAAGTGAGCTCTTTCCAACATCCTGTGGTGACCCGGCCAATTATATAAGCCCCAAATCCTCCACCATATTTGGTCAGAAGTAATTGATTTACGTTCATATTTGAGCTCCTTGGCCCATCGAAGAAAGTTCTCTTCCAAAAGAAGTGGGAACTTTAAGCAGCTTATGCCCCTCCACATCTCTGCCTACATGTTTTGATGATTTTATGCCCCGACAGAGAGGGAATCTTTTTGGCAATACTCAATGGTTTTTTTTTTTTTATATTACTTGGCCTCTCTAAAAGGCAGACAAAAGATAAAATCCATTCAAAACGCAGTCTCTGAATGCTCACACCTATTATATTGAGTCATGCCTGTAGAGAACTTGATTCCTTTTATGCTTTGATGTGAAAGCTATGCTCCACCCTCCGTGCTTTAAATGATTTCCTCCTATGTAATCAGATTCCTCGCCATAATATCCTCCTCATGTTTACCTATAAACCTCCTGCTTCCCTGAAAAAATAAAAAAGACGCCTTATCTCTAAACAATAACACTGTCTCTGGAGCCTGCTCCAGTGGCTGTTTAAAAGTCTGATGTAATATCATTAAGAATCCTGGTTTTAAGAGGTCGGACCAAAAACGTATTGCTTTTCAATGCTTGAGAAAAGTGTAGCTGCTTATTCATACTCTTTTATTACATTGAAAAAATATAGACATTTATTTGTTTTCCTAACAAATGAAAATGAATAGTAAACCAAAAGAAAAGAATACCTGAAAATGTATGTCCAACATCTCAGAAGTTGGATTTTGTCTCTTCTTGCTTTAAACATCCACAGATTGGTATTATTAGACTTTCTTTGTTAGTTTTCTGACACACATAGTTTCTTTGCTTTGATTCTGGTTTCATCTGGCTTTCTTGCCACTTCTTTCATTGAAGCTCAACAGTTATCCCCAGCAAAGACTCTCTGCAGCTTCTCCAATGCTAAGTGATCCTCTTATTCATTTCTCTGATTAATGCTCGCCTCGCCAGCATTTCAGCTATTAGGGCTCAACTATTTTGATAAAAATATTGCGATAGTGATTATATTTTGATTTTCTTTTGCACTAAACACAATCATATACAATTTTTACTACAGGATTTAGGACCTTGGGAGCTTGTTTTTTCCAGAGTCAATTTTTGCAAGACCTTACTGTAAGGTTTGTGTGTAAAAGTGCTAACTTCTATTTGCAGGCATGAATCTGCAAGCTAGCTGCATCTTTCTCTATCGACAGTGTGGTTGCAAACTCACTTTAGGTATATTACTGCAACCTGCCATTTAATTGCATTTAATTGTCCAACCCTATCAGCTACTGTAGGTGGATGGCCACATCTAGAAAGGTTTGCAGATGTGCCATACTTTTTCTTTTTTTTTTCCTAGATGGTGGATTGTAAAATACTTTGCGGTTTTCTTATGCTGAGATTGAATGACACGCAGGTGGAATCCATTTAGTAATTTTGTGTCTGATTGGAAAAAATGTTAACACTGAATTTTTTTATGGTCATCAACGTACGGGAAGCTGAATACAAATGTATGCCACATTTTTCACACTTCATTCTGTGTAAAAAAAAAAAAGAAAAAGAAAACCCATACAGCAATTTTATTCCCCTTCACAATTCCACTTATTGTAGCTGAGGGAAAGCCGATGGATCAGCTCTGTCCCAGGATGCTAAAATAACACGCAGTAGCAGCTGGCACAATGTCTCCATCCCCAATGAAAAACTACTGCTGCCAGCTATTAGACTTTTCAGTTTTCATCGTTCCATCAGGCCCAATAAGTGTTTATAACTATGCTGGTAGTTCCTATTATTCATCTGCTCTGTGAGTGTTTTTGTAAATCATTACCTTTATTTGCACAATTTTTAATCTTATTTTGTGTTTTTCTTCACGTGTGTGAATAGGTTGTTGTTTATCTTTAAAATATTTCATTTATTCTAAGTATTCACATTTTTAAGAAGCTATATAGCCTTTTCTAACCTTTATTTATTTTTGGTCTTTTCCTAATTTTATATTACTTTGTGTTTGCATATTGCCTGTTTGTTTTAAAAATAATAAATATCCCCACTGTCGGAGCATATAGAGTATTCCTCTATTCTATTCTATTCTATTCTATTCTATTCTATTCTATTCTATTCTATTCTATTCTATTCTATTCTATTCTATGCCTTGTTTTGTGTTGGTGGAAAAAAGGTGCAAATGGGAAAAAGCTAAGTTTTGTTTTTTGTACTTGTTTTGTTTTTTTACTTTTGCAAGGGCCTTTACATTTCATTTAACTCTGGGCCATCAGTTATTTCCAGTTCAGGGTTATTAGGAAGGAATCTTAGTCAACTTGCAGAACATGCTGCTGTGCTGGCATTAACTAGGGAGCATGGAGAGATTCTCATTATCTGAGCTAACCTCTCACAGAATCCCTTTTTTTTAACCTTTCCTCTGCACTGAGAGTCATTACTAAAAATGCTGAGATCTGTGCTTAGCATTCTTGTCAAACTGGAGAGAGCTGTGTTGGGACTGAGTCTTGTCTCCTAAGTGGTTCACCTCCTTTATCTGCCTCCGGTCATTGATCCCAAGAGGCTTTGGATAAAAACATGCCTGGACATTAACAACACTACCAGTCTCTGAACCAGAAATACTTTGTGTTTATACTGTGATTATTCACCACCAGCTCAATTACATAGTATATTTTTATTTTCTGTCACAAATGCAGAAAAATAAATGTTTTCACACCGGCTAAAGATGTGTAAAAGATTCAAGATATTGATTGACGTTGATAATGTGCTTCTGTTTTTAATCCTCCATTTTACCATCAAGTTTCCTGAAAGTTTTAGGTCTGAGTTGGTCATAAGGAAGATTACATTTCTGTGTGCTAATTTGGCCATGTGTTTTTTGGATTATAACCTTGTTAGAACAGCCAATAATTACCCATTTGAAGGTTAATGGTTAATTTGACAAGACAAGTATTTCAGTCTTCAGGTTTTTAAAAGAGTTCAGGATGTCAGAAACCCAAACAAGGTTATAAAGGCCTTTGGAAGAACATCAGACCCACAGGATCCTAGATCCTCTACTTTACATAACAGTGAGGAGAAGGTGCTTCTACATATATGCACCCTGTATCTCATTTTAGACCCTGTAGCATTTGTAACAGAAAAAAAGTTTGACCTGAGTTTAAAGTTAAGCATTTTACATTTTTAGAAACGTTATTTCCTGACAAATTTCTCAAACTGTGACATTAATGTTTTTTCTTGAGACACACTGCTCTCTACTTCCTTTTTTTCCGTCTATTTATCTGTCTGCTCCTTATAGCAACATGGCTATTGATGGCCTTTTTTTCATTTACCTGCATGCACCTTGTGTTTTTCTCAGACTGGCAGATCGCCACACTGGCCACACTGCTCGGGGGAGCCGCCCTCACCCTGCTCTCGCTCCTCACGGCTCTGATCTCCCTGTGCGTTGGTTCAAGGGGTCGCTGCTACAAGCCTGTGGCCATCATGCTGTTCTCTGCAGGTCTGTAGGTTTCTGTGGGAATTTAGTGACTATCTCTGTTGCATTTTTATTATTTTGGTTCCTTTGTTTGTTCATTATGGATCTCCTTTTCCTTTTGCAGTGGTCCTTCAGGTCTGCAGCTTGGTGTTGTTTCCAATCAAGTTCATAGAAACAGTCAGCCTGAGGGTGTACCATGAGTTCAACTGGGGCTACGGGCTGGCCTGGGGATCCACCATCTTCTCCTTTGGTGCCGCCATTCTCTACTGTCTGAACCCCAAGAACTATGAAGATTATTATTGAAAATTGTCACACACACACAAAAAGCAAAACAACAAAAAACAAGCATAAGGAAACAAGTGTTTTCAGGGTGTGGTTCATAAACTGTATGTCCCTCACTGCACAATCACAGAATGGAAAACAGTGACAGTGTTTGTATCAGGTTTGTTTTTGTTTTTTTTGCTTACTGTCTGAAAGACATTCCTTCCTATGAGTTCTTTTCTCAGGCTAAACTGCAACTCCTTATCAAAAAGCCAAACCGAGTCAGTAGAAAGCTTTGGAGACATACTGTTACTAATCTGATAATTATGTGCTGCTCATTTAGGCCAGAAATTCTGGAGCATTGCAGTTATAAACTACTGAGAGCAGAGTTAGTCTGCGATTTAAGCGCAGAGAGGAAGACGTCCAGCTCCAGTAATATCCTGGTGATGACAAAGCGAGGAAGACCAAGTAACATTTTACATCTCCCCAGAGACGCACCATGTCTGGATGTTAACCAACCTTTCCTTCCCTTTCAACAGAAGAAAAAATGATCATGGAGCAATATTTCATTCTCTATTCCTAATTACATTTCTGACAAATGATTCATGAGAAGTTAAGGGCTAATTTTGAAAGAAAACATTCCACAAGCATCTTCTAAATATGACACAGGTTAGAAACGTCTGCTGGTTCATTATTAGCCAGATCTATCAAGCATGCTTGTGTCGATTTTATAGCACAGTTTGAGTCACAAAGTTTTTTAATAAAACTGATGTACTTTATGTAATTATGTGTGCATAATATAGCAGTATGCAGTCCAATAGAAGAAGAGTGGGAAGAGAAATGGCAAATGACCATGGCTGCTGAGTGAACACACTAGGATCAGGGGTGTCCAAAATTGCAGTCCAGGGACCATTTATTTCAGTCAGAAGGATTTTATTCAGTTCGCTAAGACTCTCATCGCAGTTTAGGAGACCAGCTTACTAGTTAAGGTAGTTAATACAGATGGTACACTTGGGAATAAACGTTAGGCTAATATTTTCTCGGACATGGTTTCTTTTGAAAGAGATGCATAGCAGATAAAATATGTTTGGTGCAACAGAAAGGGTTCAGCTTCTAATATCCAATTTGTTTTTTTGCTTTAACATTGTTTTGTATGCAATATTTAATATTGCACCAATGGTTTACATTTATCAGAATTTTTGGACCAAAAAAAAAAAAAAAAAACTTGGTGAATTGATTATTTTACTGAGGCAAAAATTTGGGACAATTCTTTGCATTTTTCATTCTGCATTGATTTATAAATATAGTTAGAAATTCACAACATGATTGAATTTGCAAATTGAAAAAGATGTATCTTTTTGGGCATTCAAGGCTCTATTTGTGTAATTTTGCCACCGTGGGAAAAACATTTGGACACCACCGTAATGGATGATCATGCTCCTCAGCATGTGCTCAGAGTACTCCTCATGTGATGCCTGTTTATCTTCCCACTCTGCAGAAATGTAACAACAGACAATAAAACGAATCCTTAATGGTTGAAGTTGCATAGTTTTGATATCAAAGCTGGGATTAATAATAGCCAAAATCTCAATCCCGGTGGAGCTTAACTTCTCCTGCTGGTCTTCACAAAGTGAAAGCATGTGCATGCCACTACTGTTTGCAACAATTTGTCTGATTATCAACAAGATAAACCTGTATTAAAATAAAAATAAAAGTTTGATTGAGAGAATCAGGTGAAATTTTGCAGTCATGTGTTGTCAAGTCACATAGAATCAGCTCTTTTATTAAGTACAGCAAGTTGAGGCATTTGCACAGGAAATCAACATCTTTGAACACATAATACATGGTGGCATAATATGCATAAAAGTACAAGGAGTATACTTTATGCAAGTGTCTTTTAGTGTTCTTTCAGTGATATGAGCTCTCATAATGAGCCAGATACAGTGTACAATCTACAATTCGCATTTGTCACAACTTGCATACCACTTCGTTCATTGTTCTTCTGTCATTAAGAAAACACAGGTCTTGGATTAAAGTAGACGTGCCTTCTTTCTGTGTTCAGTAATCGGCACAGTGTAAACAGAGCAGTCACTCTTCTGCCTGGAATGTTCGCTAGGTAAACCATTGCCGCCTCTTCTTCATCCATAAACCATTTTGTTCCACTTCACCACAGTTGCACCTTTTCAAGCCCCTCTTTGACATATGCCAGGAAACAACATCCAAAGAAAAGATCATAATGCACAGTAGTGGAGGGCAAAAGGAGAAGTAATCAGAGGATGGGGAGAAGTAGTGGCTCTTCCTCAGCAGGTGGAGGGAGGGGGGGTATATTGATTGACAGAGGGGCAGACCTTGAGATAGATTCCTGGGGGACGTGGTTCGGGGTTTCCAAAGTTATGCAAAAACTGGGCCAAGGATGGGCGCTGCAGTGCCATGCCAAGTTCAGCTGTAGCGTGGCATCTCACATGCCTCACAGCGGTTGAGTGCAGGATGGTTGAGGAGGGTGCAGCTGTCACAGTTCCAGTGAGCTCCTTCAAAATCCTCGTCTCTTTGAGGTGGTGGCTTGGAGGCCGGCTCCCCTTCTAAAATACACAACAGAAAAACAAAGTTTGAACACAAAGCACAAAAACCCATTCCATGTTATTAAAGACATGCACTAAAAAAAAAAAAAATATTGAAAGATGCTTTCAAGAAAATCCTGTTTAACTCCACAATACACAGAGGGGTTCGTGTCTAGCTTGCATCTCAGAAAAAAAAGTTGAAGTCTAGATGTTGGAAATAACTACTATACTTTAAGTGTGCAGCTTTAGAGAAGGAGACAGGTGTTCCTCTAAGGCCAATATTGGGGCTGAATGTATTTTTTATTTTAAAAAAAACAAATCTTAGGATAGTTCTAGATGCAGCTTTGGATATTCATTCCCAGAATTGAAGTTGGGATAGACACAAACGTTCAAATTTAAGTCATGACAGTGAATGGTCTGCGGGACCAAAGCTTTAAATGTAAAAATCAAGCAAATAACGAAGCTTTGGATCAACATATATAAGATTTAAATAAACAGCCTGGAAACAAAGTCTAAAAATGAAAGGTCTCAATAAAATATATTCTGTCTTTATCATGTATCCAGAATATATATTAATTGGTTAAATTTCACACTTTTCTAGACCCTAGAATAGAATTAGGGTTTTTAAATTTACAAGTATTATGACCTCCAGAACACATTTAAGTTTGATCCCTTATCTTTAAACAAGATATTTAAAAAACTTTAGCAGCAGAAGAGTTTCACTGTTTTTAAAACATAAAAGTGTCCATGCATTGCTCCAATTCTTTATTGTTTTGAGTATCTATTTGGTGTGTTCAGCTGATAATGTTGAGCTTTGTTTCTCCAGTCTATACACAATATTGTTGTGGCTCATCTTGACCTCAACTTCCTGGCTAAGGAAATACTGTATTTTGCGAGTCGGACACAAATCAGGTGTGCCACTCTTGTTGCAGTATTGTGGTTTAAAGCAGAGCACACAGCTGTGACAAAACCAAGAGCTGCTAAACCCACAGCCAATCTAAAATAAACATGGCAGTGCAAGAGGACACACTAATGCTGCTGCTATCACGTCTGTTTGTTAAGAATTTCATCGTTGAAAGAGGAACAGCAAAAGGATAAAACTATGGTATGGTTTCTGATGGCATTTGATGAATGTTCACGTGTTACTGTGATTGGCCAATCTCAACTCTTAACTGCATTTTATTTAAATATTTAGACTTATTTTCTGCCCTACGACAGATTGGCGACCTATCCAGGGTGTACCCCGCCTCTCGCATATAGACTGCCAGAGATAGGCACCGGCCTCAACGCTACTCCAGCGTAATAACCGGGAGAAGATGGATGGATGGCTATTTTTCAAACCCTAACATAACTCCTCCACTGCTCACACATTTAAGTCCCAAATCCTACAAAAGTTTCCTCACCTTTCTTCCCAGGATTGGTTGGCCCCAACGGACCGGGTTGAATGTTGTCATAAAAGTTGCTAATTGCTTTAGGGTCAAACTTCCCTGTGGATAAAAGCAAAAATAAGGCAGAGTTTGCATTTTGTTTAATTTGGCGAGAGTCTTTTACACTGAGATAACGTCTACATAAATATGCCTTGTTTAAGAACTTCAAGTGATTCTAGTTTTTCTGCATAGGATGATTTTGTTTATTTTGTACATGTATTTTTTTCATTTTGTCCACACCAGGGGTCGGCAACCTGCGGCTCTGGAGCCGCATGCGGCTCTTTAGCCTCCCCCTTGTGGCTCCCTGGAGCTTTTTCAAAAATTTTATGAAAATCGATTTTTTTGTTTGTTTTTGTTTTAATATGGTGTGCAGGAGGTCAAACAAAAATTAATTAATGTTTTCCAATGCTGTAAACATTTGTATTATAAATAAATTTAAACAATAATTGGCGTCATAGCCATAGAGATCAGTGGTCATAACTTGGAACCACTGTGGAGCGGTGCCAGGCAAACAAAGCTGCAGGTGTGTCTCGGAATATGAATCTCAAAGGGAAAAAAGGAAAATAGTTGATAAGAAATTAGGATTCAAATAGACCGAATGATTTGCTTTCATTATCAATGCAGAAGGATTGCCTGTGTTTTTGTTTTGTAATGAGAGGTTGTCAAAAACTAAAAAGAAAAATTCTGAAAGGCATTTCCAGGGAAGGCTAAATCAGCAGCCCACCACCAAGCTGGGAGTGAGAGAAAAAGTGCGATTGCAGGATAAATTAGAGGAGCGCAAAGATAGATTTAAGAAGTGCATTGCATTCCCAAAAGCCACTACTGCTGCTAGTTTTGTTGCAAGGATGGAAAACCATCCACAGGTCAAACAGGTAGCGCTTTGATGCAGGTATCTGAACTTTCTTCCATTTTTTCCCCAAATCCTAAAAATATTAATCAGACCAAGGAACGATGATGTCTCTGAGGTCAGTTCCTGCTTGGTTCCTCATGACTCAATAAACTCCTCCCAACAGAAACACGTCCACCATAGAAAGATTACTTTATTGTGTTTCTATAATTTCATCATTGCAAGAAAACTTAAACCGCGCAGTGAAGGTGGTGAAGTGGCGCTCGGTGAAGCGGTGCGCGATGGGAGCGTTCACTGTTCCTCCGTCACCTCAGGCTACTATGTGACATTTGCTTCAGGATAAACATTTAATCATGAATGCTTATTATATATTTAAGCCCACATAGTCCTTTTCTATAGTGGGATAATACACTTAGAGCCCGTGTTGCTATACGAGGCTTATATAAGGCTTTTACATTTTTGCGGCTCCAGACAGATTCTTATTTTTTTTTTTTTTGGTCCAATATGGCTCTTTGAGCAGTGTGGGTTGCCGACCCCTGGTCCACACGCAATTTGTGCATTTTAAGCAAAGAGTCTGCAAAATTTACAGTTTTATGATGACAATTAGAGGTTCTTGATTGGTTCTAAAGGTCCAATCAGCTAAAGCTGCTTACACTAAAAATTGTGGGGAATATGATGGCCAGGAAATAAGAAAATGTACTTGCTTCAAGTTTTTTTCCTTCAACTTCCTGCTTTGATTTGTACTAATAAAAGAAAAAAAACGGTGACGCTGAGGAATTCACATTGTTGACATGATAGTTTAAACAATTTTTCTTTACTAAAACTAGCTAATGCTCTATGAAACGCCTTGTTAAAATATACCCCCTTTAGGGATGACCCTTTTTTCCCACCAGTAAGACTGTATGCAGGTGTCTGATTGTATAATATAAACAGATTTTCTATTAAGTTTGACTGGTAGAGAATCTTTGGAGGGAGCTCAAACTCCATGTTTCTAAGCTATTGCCCAGAAACCTGACTGATCTAGAGATATATGTGGAGGATTGGGCCAAAGTCCCTCCTGCTGTGTGTGCAAACCTAATGAAAAACTACAGGAAACGTTAAACTTGTTTAATTGCAAACAAAGGCTACTGTACTAAATATTAACATTGATTTTCACAGGTGTTCAAATACTTATTTGCGGCTGTATCATACAAATAAGTAGTTACAAAATGTATATAGTGTGATTTCTGGATTTTTTTCATTTTTTAGATTAAGTCGCTCACAGTGGGCATGCATTTATAATAACAATTTCAGACCCCTTCATGATTTCTAAGTAGGAGAACTTAGAAAATAGCAGGGTGTTAAAATACTTATTTTCCTCACTGTAATACATTTGATTGAATTTCTATGTTTCAGAGTAAAGATGGGTGAAAATGACCATTTTACGTAACCCTCGTAAACCTTTGGTTTTGACAATCACAAAAATATCTAAATGGGTACGAATAAATACTTTTGTAAGGTGATAGTTAAAATAACAACTATGATATTGTTTTATTTTTTTGTTTCAGGATAAACCATGAACCTACAATAGATCTGAACCAAATTCAAAGTCAAGATCCTAAAAACAGATAGAAACAATAGAAAATAGAATATTTAGCATAACAGCAGCATAATAAAGCTCATTAAAATTAATTTCCTACTCAAATGTAACAGCTGTTGCTTTAATCAGTCATGTAAATCACCAAAGGTTTTGTATAAACCAGATCTAAGCATCGACAGGTTGAGAGTCAATTATGAATCTGTTTGGTTCTAGCTACAAACTAAGCAGCAATTCAAGCTGGTTAGTCTATAGACAGACAGATCTTTTCGTTATTTATTGTTTAATCCTGTTTGCTTTGATGCTTCTTAAAAAAAAAAAAGAAAACATTTAGTTTGAATACATCTTGAAACACACTCAAAGGTTATTTATATAGAAATTCAGATTGTCGCCAGCCTGTGTTTATACCTCTGGACTGCAGCAGGTCTGTTTCCTTCAGTGTGCAGTCAATATCAATCTGCAGCTGTCTGTTATGAGTCCGTAGTCGGGTAATCTCCTCAGGCTGCAATCAATGAAAACATCCCAGTCAGTGAGCACACAGTTTTATATTCCAAATCCAGGCTTCTAAATGTTTTGTTTTTTTCTTTTAAATCATTAACAATATTTTCAGTGTTTCTTGCGAAATGTGTACATTTTTGATGTAACCAAACTTGGTTTATTTTTTGTCACACTTAAATGTTCCAAAACAACAAGGTAATTTATTCTTAGGAAAATGTTTTTCTTATTAAGGGAAAAAAGCCCAAATATGCAGTAGTCCCATGTAAAGGGTTATCACTTCCTGAAGCCAATAAGATTCTAGATTTAAGGATTTAGCATAAATTAACTCAAAAATCTCTTTCAAGCCACAGAGACTCAATCACATATAATCCTGGGCTTTGACTAGGCCAGTCCTGGGGCCCTCATATATAAAATAGTGCACAGCTTTCAAGTGAAAATTTGGCAGTAGCAAAAAATTTATAAAAACCTCTGAGTTAAAACATAACAGAATGTTGTTTGTGCAAAGGTGTGAGTCCCAGGACCTGAACCATTCAGAGCTGAACTAGTGGATGTGTTCAGATTACTGCTCTGAAGAACAAACCAGATCCCTTGACTTTAATGTCACAAACTGATGGCCATACTTTCTCTGTTACAATCATTATAGATTCTGAAGAAGCAAAGCAGCTCCAGACATTCATACCACCACCTCCATGTTTGACTCACTATGATGTTTTAGACCAGGTATGAAACGATGGACACCTTTCGACTAGAGTTAATAATTGAGTTAAACAATCAATTAGTTCAATAACTGTGGTACGACATTTCCAGTTTTAAGTCTTGTTTTTTAGAGCAAATAATTTTAAAACATAATATTTGAGGAGTTATATAAACAGGTCGAATTACTTCTCATGAGATTGTACAGGATTCTGTTATGTGTAATCTTGGCAGTTTTTCTGATGTTTTATTTTGTTAATGTCAAATTTTCATTGTATGAACAGAAATTAAAAGTTTTGGTCACATCATTCAGCCTCACTGTGGCTTTTACTTTTGAACTCTATAGATTGGGCTATTCTGCCTCCACTAGAGTCAAGTAAGGACTTCAGGGCTTTAGTCACACATTTCAATGTTAAAAACCCATTTCTGGACAGTGGGATCTGTTGCATTTCAGAACAGTCCAACTGCTTTTGAAATGGCCCTCCACCGCTTTGCAACTTCATAATGTTATACAAGTTCTATTTAAGCGGCTACTTGATTGTACAAGTCTGGGGAATTTAGGCTTGAGGCCTGAACACACCGGTTGCATACAAATTTTTTGATGTCCGATCTGATTTTTTCCCCCACTGACTGAGTATAGAGAGACTCCGCCTAGGCAGGGTGGGTAGATCTGAGCAGATTTCTTTCACTTCTGTTTCTGTGCTATACACAAAAAAAAAAACAATTTCCCACATTTGACTTGGACAGAATATGGAAATGTTATAAAGAAAAAAAAAAAATGTAACCGCTGGAACGTTCTATAAAGCTAGGCCTTAACGAGTCTGTGCATCATCTCAAACCAGAACAGATAGAGAATGTTCATATGCCTATATTAAAAACATAATAAGATCTACATTTAAAGAAAAGAAGAACACAGCTATAAACACTGTAGGGTGGTTTATATGCTGGCTGAGGCAGAGAGAGGTGATTCTCAGAGAGATCTGTGGAGTTTACCGACGTTTTTCTTTCTTTTTTTCATAAAGAGGTGAGAGAGCTATCATGAAAACTGGAAAACCAGTCAAAATGTAAAAGGACAACAATTTTTAATACATTGTCATGCTTACTCTGGGTACAAGATTTGAGGAGTTCACTCGTCGAAAACGCCTCTGGAGGGCTTCGTATTCCATGTTATTGACGTCCGCCTTAAGCTGCTCTAGCTTCTGCTTCTCCATGTGGAGCTGCTTTACCAAACGCTCCATCCTTGCCCGCTGGTGAAGCAGAAGAGCTGTGGGAAAGGACATCCACCATAAACATGTTTTAAACACAGGAGCAAAGAATGCTGTTCAATTTATGAGCATTTGTTGCTTCAGTAAGAGTAACCAGGGGCTGCACTGAAATGCAAAAGGAAAATAGGAAGAGCAAATAAACCTATTTTCAGCGTAGTGGTGAGAAATTTCAGTGAAATAAGCTTCAGAGAACCCTGATGTTAGCTTTTTAACTTTGTTTTTTTTTTTTATTCACATGGCTAAAACTTAACTCCTAGCATGAGAGATAACTTATCTGTATTTAAAGAGTGAAATAAATGCAGATGTTGTTAGTTTTGTTGCACATAACGCAAATAAAAAATAAAATAAAAAAAGATTTTGAGTGTTTAGCTGGAAAATATTCTCTGGATCCAGCTTCTAGTTAATTGGCAGCTAAAACACTGAAGAAACCTACCTACATGTGTAAATATTCAGACATAAATATTTCCATAATCTTGTGTGTACCACTGGTTTATTCTCAGAAATGTTATACATTGAAAACAGTGATTTATTCATGTTGACTGTGGGACTTTTTAGGTAGGAATTCTGACTCCAGGGGAAGGTTTCTGGTGCCTTTCTAAGTGATTCCAAGTAATTGTTGATTACTTCCCGCTACAATCTCAAACCTCATCGCCGTGCAGGGGACCAAAACATTTCGCCTGGTCTTGCAGGCCAACAACGACCTCAACGACTCCCCATTACTAACGGGTGGACCTGTTCTTTCGGTTCAATTGGCATGTTTTCTAAGACATAATAAGGCTTTTGTTTGGGCCACTCTATAAGCCTGGAACTAAAGCGCTACTCCAGACATTTCAAATTGAAAAAGATTCCTGGATGGGAAGCGAAACGCATTCAAATTTGGAAAACAAAGGCCAGTGGTTTCTTTTCTAATTTTTTTTTTTACTTTGTTGGATTTTCCAAGTGATCGTGAAAGCTTCAAATTTTAAAAAACTCACTTGTGCAAAAAAAAAACAAAAAAAAAAAACACAGCTTTGTAACAATTAGGCTTTAACAATTGTGAGCTTCTAACTGAAAAGGATTTGTCTATTTATTCTACTGATTTACAAGATATCAATCCTGTTAAGAAAAACATAAAACAGTTAAAGAAAAACAGAATTATAAAATCTAAATATATCCATTTTGTCATATTTGTAAAGAGTAGTCAAATTCAGAAAAGGAAAAGGTTTGATTTTTTTTAATATAACTAGCTAACAAGTCATCAAGAAAGTCTAAAAAAAAACCTGACCAACTGATTTTTCCAGTTCAACATCTCAAAATCCAAACAAAGTGAACTTAAAACACAAATGCAGAAAACCTAAAGCAGAACAAAAGCATGAAATATTTCTTACCTTGTGTGTAGGCATAGTCATCTGAGGCTGAGCTTGAACGCCGAGGAAATTGCTGAAACTGACTGACAATCTTCCCTGGCAGGGCAGAGATGGGCAGGATGGGTGCTGGGGTAGAGCTGTGCTCATCTTGATCTACAATGTTGAGAAGAGGCTCAGCTTCAGCGACAGGTGGTGAACTTGGTGGTCTTTGTACATGGCCTCCAGGGGACACCTTAATTTTGAAGCTATACATAGACTGGCCCGGCTGGGGAGAGGAGGCCTGCTGAGGCCTTGTGTTGCCCTGGTGCGGCAGATACATTCCCGGGTGAAATGGTGCTGGTCCAGAAGGTCCGGTGATGGAGATTGCCCGTGAAGGGGAGCTGGGCGAGGGGCTTGAGGGCATGTAAAGGGGGGCCTGGGGAATTGGGGTGTGCACAGGTGAGTTGCTGCGAGGTCGTGGGCCTTCAAAGGTGATTTCTATCTGCTTTGTTAAAGGGTTTTTGGACTGGAAGGGCCTGTATTGCTGCGGGGTTTGCTGCTGGTGATGGTAGGGCATATTTGTGTGGGTTGGAGGACTTATAGGGAGGAAGACACATGGCAGAGGTCCAGTTTGTGGCTGGACCTGGTGTTGAGGCGAGCTGTAAGGAGAGCCATATGTGGGAGTACTGTAAGGGGACTGCTGATGCTGGTAGACGGTTGTGGAGGGCCAAGGAACTGGCTGTGGGCTCTGAGAGGGTGAGGGACGCATGTACAGTTTGGTATTGTTGCTGTTATCATAGGGCCCAGGCGGAATCTGCAGAGCCTGTTGGAGAGTAGGTATGGTTTGTGAAAGAGTGACCGTTATAGGGCTCATAGAATGTCGTGGAACTGGGGTGTATGTGGGGGACATGCCCATTGCAGGTGGAGGCGTGGGGGTGCTGGAGGAGCGGCTCTGGTTGTTCATAAAAAACGGATTATAACCAGGGGCCACAGCGGCAGGGGCCGACTGTGGTTCGTGGTAGTTAGGCCGTTGAGGGTCGATGTGACTGTCACTGGTGCTGTGCACCAAAGAGCGCCCCACTCCTGCTCCTCCTCCATTTGTTTTACCTGTTTCTGAACCTGCATAGCCAGGGCTGATGTGTAGCATACGGTTTCGACTTATTCGCATCTCCTCTGGACTATGATGGAAGTCTCCATAGAGATATCTGTTACTCTCTTGAGTCAGCAGGTGGCAGCAAATATCCACATTATTGTTGTTCTGAAAGAGATTGTTTGCAGCGTTAGCATCTTTTTACTGCTTTTAAATAATCAAGTTCAAAACTTAACTCTGCAACCTTAATACCTGGGTGAAGGAAAGGGGTAATAAGATGATAACAAGTGTTTATGAAACCAAATTATTTACAGAAAATATTAAGCAAAAGTTAATTTCAATTTTATATTTTGTTTTGGTCAAATATTCTATTTTCAAATCTACTAAGAACAAAAACGGATTAAGAACATACAATCAGAAAGAAAGAAATACGTTTTCATGCACATATGATAAATACTGTTGTAAGCCTTAGAGTAATGAGTATTTAGGGTCAAACATGGAGGAGCAAATGGTCAACAAATTGTGTACAATTTTAATTAAATCTAAAGTACAGAACAATTAATAATGACTTCTTACTCTCTCTGGGACTGAAGGGCCAGTGCATATTTTAAAAAAGTTTACCTTTAAATGGACACTGGAGAAATGTAACAGTTTCTTTGGCACTAATTTATATTCCAAACATTTGATCAATTTCTTTATGGAAAACATGAAAACGTATATTTGAAACCATAAAAAATTATCACAGTAACATTGCACAACTCTAGAATGTAGCTGCATCAAAAATAACAATGACACAGATTTTCATATTTTAACCATTTGATCATTATGGGGTTGTCCCAACTGTGAAATGTATTATTTTAAAAAAAGGAGTCATGCAATCCTAAGAAATAACCAGTTTGTCTATTTTGGGGGTTTATGCCACTGATTTATTATAAAGGCATTGGGACATATTTACAAATAAAAAGGTACACCCTATTATAGTCATATCAAAACCTGATTATATCTATGCAGAAGGACTTTCTAGAGTTAATCTATTTTAGAAATATCAAACAAAAAAAGACATAATTTGGGCTGTTAGGATAATAATCATTGAAGATGTGTGAGTTTATTACACCCTGGTATGGGCTGCCTGTTGCATTTCAGAACTGATGTTTTAATCTAATTAGGACAGTTCCTCTGTCTGGATATACAGTTATAATCTTCATTCTGTACGTGGCAAAGATTTGGAAATGGAATGAGAGCGGTGTCCCTCAGCTAAGAACGAAGTGTAATATTTTGATAAGGCTGGAGTCATGGATGTCTAATCATCTGCTAACATGTATGATGTAAAATAAGATGGATGTGGCAGACTGGAGATATATAAAATACCTTTTTAACTGTTAATCGGGGCCACTTCCTGGGAGGTGAGCAGCTGCCATTCTGTACATTCTAAGCAATTTCTTTGATCCGAGTAAGATTACAATTTCTATCAGAATCTGTTGTCATGTCTCCTGGTTATTTATTACATATAAGTGATGAAGTGTTTTTTAAAGGGTTTGTCCCGAGTGATCTCTTTTCCGGGAAAGGAACCGGAGAGATAGAGCATCAAGGTGCATACAAATAGCCTATTTTTAACAGTTAAATAATTGTTCTATTGAAAATAGATTTAGTGCAGAAAACCAACAATACAGTAATCTAGAGCAGTTCCCAACTCTGCATGTTTTAGGCTCTCTGTTCTGGCACACCTGACTCTAGAATAATTGCATGGCTTCCTCTGCAGCTTACAAAAGCCTGTTAGTCACTTATTTGTGTCAATACAGTACATGGAACCAAGGAGAGGCCTAAACATGCAGGAAGGGACTACTAGAGGAACAGGGTTGGTAACTGCTTTGTTTTTGAATCAACCTGAAATCCATCAGCAATGTGCATTTACCTGCAAAAGGAACTGAGACACTACTCCCTCTGGGATCTCTGGGAATCGCTGCTTGAGGTCTTGCAGAATGTGGTAGTCCACTTGAGAGCCTCCCTGCGCCATCCTGAACCCACACAGCGTGTCAAAGGGCCCAAAGATGCAAAAGTCGGCTCATCACCTGATGAAGCACAGGATAAACGACACACAGGGATTTATCAAGCTCAGATTCAAGGAGAACGGCTTGCAATGACCTGTTAGGGCTGTCGGCCATCTAAATTCTTCAAACAAACCCTGTGTGTCAGCAACCGCGTGATTACACATATCAGAAACTGTAATTAAGAGATATAGCAGGCTATGGCTGTCAGAATCAAGAATGCACATTTATATTTAACGTGGACAATTCAAGCTTCTCATCAACACAACGACACCCTAAACAAGGATTTTGAATTTTCACTTACTTAATAGGAGCTTATCTGCTAGGCGTCCGTCATTTTGTTGATTGTTTAGCCACACTTTTGCACCAAGCAACGACGACATACACCCGTCAGCTAGCATGCTACTTATCAACACCAGTTAGCCTCCGGAACATTACCCAAACAAACAGCCGCACCTGTGTCCTGCGAGGCTCCTCTGGGACATATAGTTACTATTCCTGGGGGATTTTCTGATGTCACCTGGTACGATTTCAGGATTCCAATCCTCTAAACCGGATGACTCTTAAAATAAGATTAACTCAGTTCCTAAACTGCCAAGTGGCTAACTTTGCTAATGCTAACCTCAGGCTACTCAGCTGTCAAAGTCCCCGGCTGTTAATGGACCAGCCAGCTAACTACGCTAAAAAGCATCCGACGACTTAATTAAACTTACCACGGGTTAAAGGTCTCTGTTGCATTTAAAACCATAGCTTGCTCCAGGGGGGTGCTGCCATATTTTGAAAACAACGGATAGAGGATTTTCAGTTTGTTTGGTTCTGGGAAATAACTTGTAGTTTCACATTCCAGCGCCAGGCCCCTATAACTGAACTGCATAGCAGTCAGTTTATCGCGATAATGTCAGGATTTCCCGGTGTATCGCCGCAAAAAGCGCCCCTGCCGTTAGAAGCAGCTTTTGATGCAGAGGCACTTATTATTATTATTTTTTTATTAACGTTTAAAGTTGCTAAGGCGCGTGTGTTTATATAATTTATACAAATTAAATTAATATAAAATGTTCTTAAAAAAAAAAACATAACTTAGTTTACATTAGCTGTTTAAGTGAGATTTTCGACATAAAAGCAAACCAGGAAGTTGGTAAAATTAATAAGTTGCTAACATGTTAACAATGGAAAAAGTAGAAAACCCAATATATGTAAATGTACATTTGTAAAACTGCTGTAGAAAGAATTCAGTTTATTTTATTTATTGTATTTTTTGGTGGTATTATGTATTATCTTTATTTTGTTAGTATAATTTAAAGTTGTACATATTTTCTTGATTTAATTGTTGTCTAGCCAACAATGTATGAATGTAGAAGAATTAGGCTGTCAATTTAGAGTAATGGAAGCCCACTTCCGTCATGTAAGACAAAATAAAAGCCTAACCGGAAGTCGTAATTACAAGTTTTTAAGTTGTAATTAAACTATGAATTTTAAAGGCATAATTAGGGGAATAAACTTAATAATTATGGGTTTTAAAGCCCTAATTTTTTTTGTTTTAAAGTAATAATTATGAGTAATAATTTTGAGTTTTAAAGCCCTAATTTTGAGTTATAAAATTATAACTACGAATTTCTTCCTAAAGCTTTTGGGATAGGTTACTGCTGTCTGTCAAGGATAGCCTCTGATTTGGTGGAGAAGTCCTTTAGAGATGGCTTTATAACAGACGAAATACAAAATTTGCTTTAAAAGTAAATTAAACGCATAATTGAACGAATTGTATGCAAAAAGCATTTCTCTTTATGTAAAAGCAAAACAGATGTGGGGGAATTGGCAGCATTTATTTACATCTGGTGAGTACCATGGTTATAGATGGATGCATGAAAAATCTTGGGGACATGGTGTTGTGACAGACAGAGAGACTGTTTGAATATTTCTCTGATTACTTCCTTGACGGTGAAGGTGTTGATCACCGACAACCTCACCTGGACTGTAAACACCACTTCATTGGCCAAAAGGGCACAAAAGTGCTTGTACTTCCTGCAGAGGATGAGGAGAGGCCACCTGCCTCCACCCATCTTCACAACCTTCTACAGAAGCACCATAGAAAGCGTTCTGACCAGCTTTCTGACTGTATGGTGTAGAGGCTGCAGTGCCGCAGATTGGAAGAATGTGAGATGAGTAGTGAGAACAGCAGAGAAGATTATCTGGGCTCCTCATCCCTAGACAAATGACATTTCATCCCAGCACTGCTTGCCCCGTGCCCATAACATTAATAATGACCCCTCACACCCCCATGGACTGTTCTCCATGCTGCCCTCTGGGAAGAGGCTTCACAGCCTTCAATGCAGGTTCAACAGATTTTGCAACAACTTCTTCCCCACCGCCATCAGACAGCTGAATGTTGAAAAAACTCTAAATGATGTCACAGACTCTGCATCAACCTGACCATATCAATGTGTTTTTTTGCACCATGTCCCCCCCCCCCATAAGGTTTACATTTAATCACTGCTATACTTTAAGAAATGGAAATGTCATGAGAGCTATACAAAAAACAAAAATTTGTTCTGTGTACACTCTGTGAATACAAAATGACAATAAAAATAGTCTAAGTCTAAGGTCAAGAAATATGCTTCAGAGGCCCAAACCATATCTGGCAAATTGATGGCTATGACAAGATGAAGCCATTAATATTTGCAATCAGTGGATACATTGATGGTGTCTCCTGGAAGATGCTATGACTAGAAGCTTATAAAACAAAAAATGAACAAAAAGATAATTGATGGCTATTTTGTGGATGCTGTGATTGCTGCTGGGGGTTGCCCTGCAAGGTCATGCTTGGCCTAGGAACAGAAAAGGACAATATTGCAGGACTTGAAGAAATGATTTATGCATTTGTCTGAGAACCAAGCTCAAAGGGACACTGTGTCATTTGGTCCAAGCACGGGAAACCATTGCATTGAACAATGGTGGCTCGTTTTGAGAAGTGAATGTTTTCAGAGTTGGATGGGACAACTTTTTGGGTAATTCCCTCATTCAGTTTTTCTTTATGAGAACAATTTAGGTATGTCTTCAATACTAGCCAGTGCTTGTGTCATGGTAGGACAGTAGATCTAAAAATGTTTTAAACACTAACCTTGTTTACAATGTATTGCTGCCATCTTCTGGTTACACATTTAAGTGTCATTAATGTAAAAAAAAAAAAAAGAAGAAAAAAAGCTGTTTAATTAATTATTTGTTTGTATTGGAGGAACTAAATGATGCTTTACAGACTTGGAACAACCACCCAGTCTCACAATTCATAAATTCAAATTCACAAATTCAAGATCGCCTCATGGGCGTCCCTCAATTATGTATGCAGTTCCACACATGTGTGAAAAGAAACTACATAAACACCGTGTCTATAGACAAAGTCTCACTATGCTTTGAGGAGTCTACATTCAAAGACTTCCCATGTTAGAAGACATGTTCAATATCTGTGTAGACCTGATGTCTGAGTACAATTTATCCTTTTCAAATGATTTCTACAAAACAGTTGAGATATATATTACCGGTAGTTTAAGAGAGCTGATCAATGATGAACGACAGAAGTGATACCCTTTAAGGCCAGCAGGCCCAGCAGGACCTTTCATATACATAATTTACTTTATGTATTACCTTTCACATTTGATCAGATGTGTCCAATTTGAAGTAGGAAGGGAATGTGTAGGGGATTGATTGTTAGACTATAGTCGAAAGGAGAATGGATGTCTGGAAAAAGACCAAAGGAGAATGAAGTTAAAGAGTATAGCTAATAAGAAAATACAGAATTAAGAATGCAGATAGGTTTGTGCAGATTTAATACAATATGTCTGTAAATGTTTATGAAAGTGATGGCTTCTTCAAAACTGCAGTGGTTTAATGAAACAAATTAAAACACATTAAATATGTCTCTTTCAGTCTTTATGACTTGAAACTGACAAATAATTGTCATGTTTAATTTATCCCACATAAACTCAAATTAAAAACTAAAATAACATAAAATTTAAGTGTAACCTGTAGCAGTGTTGTAAAGTTTTTTTTTTGCTTCAACAGTCCCTGAAAAATACAGTTGTCAACTTAAACACAACTTACATCACAACAGTTAGTACTGCAAGTCTAATATACAGCTCGCTCCGAGTGTGACCCATCTTCAACAGATCGCTTTCAATGACACCAAGAGCAGCTTGCTCAAGAACCACATGGGCAAGTTTAATGAGCAAGTGCTTTTCCTTTTCCCAGCCAAAAGCAGCAATGTGTAAGATTTATCATTAATGTGAATAATTTGAAAACTCAGATATATAAGATTTAAACCAGTCTAGTGCTGTTCCATTAATTTCTACAAAATATACAACTCTTTCTAAAAGAATATTATGATCAGCTGTATCATAATGCAGCACTGAGATCTAACAGGACAAGTACAACTCTGAAATGCAGCCAAAGGAGCTCAATTGTTCTTTCACTTTTCTAGCATTTGAGTTGGGGGGGCTCTTTGTTTGCCACACTGACTTTTTTGGTTTTGAGTTTGTTAATATTCTTTTTACTCTTTCAAAAATTTTGGACATCCAACTGCTGGGTTTTGGTTATTTGGATCTAAAATACCCAAAAACTGCCACTCGGTCCATAGGATGATAAATACTCCTTCAGTTCCTAATCTTTCATAAGCTTTATCACACTTTGATCAATCTAAAGTAAAAAGCAAAAAAAAACAAAACAAAACACCAGAAGTGCATATATATTGCATATATGTTCTTTTTTCTCTAAAGATTGACCTTTGACTCAGTTGCTATTGCAAATTCTATCAGTTTCACATTTCCTACACCATCTTTCAAAAACAAGACTGAGCAAGAGTTTTTCTTTGTCTTTGTGCCTGACATGATTGAATCTGTCACATTGATATGAACTCAATCACTGTCACAATATAAACATGTAAAATAGGTTAGTCTATTGACTACAAGCAATGTTGGAATCAAAGGTACAGATTAATAAATGTTTGCTTTTAATCAATTTATCTTGTCAGAATTTGTATGCATTTTAAATACCAGCCGGAGATTCTCCACTGGATTATGTTTTGGAGCACCTGGAGGAAAAACCACCTCAGCATGCAACAAAATTATCCCGTAGACCGGGGGCCTCAACACCCCCTTGTATTCCTCCTCACAGACAGAACTCCGTCTGTCTGTGAGGAGCAACTCTGCAAACACATTAATTTGATGAGAAACATGTCTTTCTTCCCCAAGTAGTATGGGCTGAGGTTTGCTAAGGAAAATACTTGCCTTACGCTTATTTTAATGCCTAGGTTATGGGAGTGGGCACCATCTGGTGGTATGAAAAAGTGTAAGCCCTTTGAAAACCCTGCTATTGACTTATAATTTATTCTTATACTAAGATGAGTGTTGGATAAAATATTATGATAAGTTCAGAGCTTTTTGGGGAGTCTGTAATGCATTGAAGTTTCAACTTTCTTTAATCCCCCAAAATGTATATTTTTTAGTTGTCCCAACTTTTTTTTTAACTCAATCAATTTGATGAAACTGTTAAACTGTTCAAGTTACCAGAACACAATAAAAACAGAACTCATATACAAGTTTCAAATGTTTAGATTTAGAGACTTAGACTTAAATAGAATTAAACAGATTTTATTTTG